CCTGAATAAGGCTGTGCCCATAGAGGCTCCTTGTATGTCTTGAAGCTCTGTAACTGTCCAGCTTTCTGCAAACTCCTTCAGCCCTCAGCCCCAGCAATGGGTAACATCACATTGAAGTGGTACTGCTGGAAACACGCAGTCCCTATGTAGTCAGTGGGACTCTGTCAAGATGTGTTTGCTTTTTAAAGGACCTCAGATGGGGGTTTTCCAACCTGCTTGGTCAGGCTTGTGTAGAGATGTGCAGAAGGTACTTCCTCCACTGAGCTTTTACTTCTCTCTCTCTCTCTCTCTCCTTCTAGAAAAGCACACTTCTTACTCCAGGTAAGTCTACACCTAAACATGCTGTGTAGATTATCCATCTTGGCATCTGCTGTCTAAAGCTGTGTATCAATAAGTAATACCTGTAACAGGTGAGAATTTGGGAGTAATCAATACAGGATTCTATCAGCTTGCCAGCTCAGGGACCGGTGCTGTGTTTATACCCGAGTTCTCATTCTGTTTAATGGAAGATCTCTTCACAGAATCAGACCTGGTATCTTAGATCAGGTGCCTGTAGCTGACATGCTTTTCCTGAGAAGGTAAACCCGCACGAGTGTTAAGGTTTTAAACCAGAGTCTGAGGCCAGCTAAGGAACACAGAGGAAACTTGAAATGCAAACGGATTCTGGGGGTTGCTTGTGTGTAGTGTTTTTAGCATGTTTATGTGTTTCTGTCTCTGGGGGGAGAGGAACAGCATTCCTGAGCATTGTCTGGCTGCAATAGGAGATGCTTCAGCTAGCTGAAGTACCAACTGCACCAATAAGGAACTCCTAAGTTAACTCTGGAGTGTTTACCATGCTGCTGCTGCAGCTAGTCCGATTCCTGGGCCTGAGCTCTAGTGCTTGTTTCTATTGATACAAGTGCCTCTATTCCCCTGCATACGAGTTCTGGAAGACTGCAGCACGTCCCATGGGAAGAGGTTAAGAGATTTCCAAGCCCCATTTCCACCGCAGGGCTCAGGCCCTTTGTGCTGTGACCTCGAGTGCTCTCTGTGCCCCCGAGACCTCTTGGGATGCTTTGCCTTCTCCTTTTGTGACTGTTTCAGAACTGCCCCCTGAAGGAAGGGGTGTGCTGAGGAGCAATGGGGTGCAGCAGGCTCCTGCCTCAATGTGCTGCTGGGTTTGCATTGCAGGGGTGCTGCTCCTGGAGTGCTCAGCAGCACCCCTAAAACGTTATTAAGCCTCGCAGCATCCTGCTTGCGTGTTGTGTTTTGACTTGGGTTGTCACTTCCTCCTCCACAGCCATGGCCAGCCCAGGGGGCCCTAATGCCATTCGCAGCACAAATTTCACCCTTGTTGGATCCCACAAGCTGTCCTTGTCTTCTGTAGGAAATGCCAGATTTGCCCTGGACAAGGTAAGGGAAATCATTGGCTACTAATCCAATGTAACTGCATGTTATTGGGAGAACGGCTGTGAGTCTGGTTCACTGGTTTCAGATGGAATTACCAACGTAGAAACAAAACAGAAGTTTCTAGAAATGTTGTTTATGTGTAAAATTCAAGTCTAGTTGTTCATATTTCATTTCATACGACTGAAATGTAATTTTGAGATACAAAAGAGAAATAATATATTCCGCCAGGAGTTTCCTCTTCTGTAGCTGCACCAAAGGTGTAGTTATGCCAGGATAAAGAAGGCATTTACTTACTGATTTTCTTTCACTGCCAAGAAGAATGGTTGTATGCAGGTGGTATCTCCCTATGTGGTCTTCACGTTGCTCCTTGCTCTTAGTCTTGCAGTTACCCCTACATAAGGCATTGTATTTTAATGATAATGAAGTGTTTGAAATGGACTGCGTTTAATTGACTTGAAAATTGCTGTTTGAATACATGTAGGGGTAAGAGTTTCCTTTCATATCCTAATTCCATTTGTAGAAACAAGTTATTTTCATTCTTGAGAGCCATCATGGAGTTTTACACTATTAGTTCCTTGTCTGAACAGAACAGACTTATTGCCTTTCACCATCAGACATTAAAAACACATCCAATCTTATGTCCATTACAGTCTCTGACCATGTAATAGCTTATACCTGAAACCTATTTGAATAGGTGTTTACACCAGCACTATCTTAAGCTGACTTAAATTCCAAAGCTGCTACATCTTATGGTGGTAAATTACAGCTTTATCTAAAAGAAGCAGCAGCAGAATAAACTCTTTTTCCCTTGGCTAGTTAGGTTATATTGTGATGAGAGTAGTACTGCAGTTACAGCTTTTGCTGAGTGATGGGATGGCTTGTGCATAGGATCAGGAACATCACAGTAATCCCAATTTGCTTTTTACAAGCTTTGCTTTTTGTGGATAGAAGCAGACTTTAGTACTGGACCAGTTTGCACAACCTGGTTGAATTGCACTGCACTTGTTGGCTGCATGAACTTCACAAGTACCTGCTTTGTTCTTCAGCATAAATACTGTTCTTAACCAGAACTACGTGCAGGATTCCCATTTGGTGTATGGCTTGGTTCTTAGAAACCCTTCATTCTTGGAGTTATGGGAATTGCATTTTGTTACATGAGGAACTTGGGTTTAAACTCTTCTGGTTGACTCATTAGGGCAGAACCCTGGACTGGCCTAGTGAACTAGGGCAAGCAGAAGGCTCAAATGGAACTCCAGGGACAGCATCACCTGGTTAACTGCACACTGCAGCAGTTATCAATGAATAAAAATTTCCCTTTTATGTCAAATAACTTGATAAAATAACAGTTAAAAAGGGTGATCATCTTTGTAAAGCTTCGGTTTGGACTTGGCCCACGGCTGTACCAAGCAGCTTCTTTTTAACTTGCTCCATGCATTTCTAATCCGGAACAAACTGCTGCCACAGTGGGTGTCTGGAGTTTCATCCCTCCCGCTTGTATGCACAGGGTGGAAAGGACGAAAACGTAGTCATGTCCTTTTTTCATTAAACCTGAACTCTACCCTAACTGCATTGAGCATGGTTCTTTTTTCCCTAGATAAATGTTGAAGGGGTGGCGAAAGAACTGCGGGGCTCTATGCTCCAGGGCCAGGTTGCTATGATCCTTTAGTTCATAACCTTAATAGGAAGCTGCCTCTCAGTGCATGTTGCTGGTACCTGCCTGGCCTGGTTGCAGGATGGAAATGCTTACAGAGGTTTACTCACCAACCAGGAAGTATTAGGAGCCTGTAAGACTTGCAGGGTTCTGCCCCCTGTCTCTTACAGTAGTAAGCGTGCTGCTAGAGCTCAGTGTGATTCAGGCTGCCTGGGGTTTTTCCTTACCCATCTTGTGTCTCCCTCGATCACTGGGCAGGGAGGGGGGTTCTTGCTTCAAAACAAACCCATGTCTCTTAGAGATTGCCAGGCAGGGAAGTCGAGCCAAGCTCTGATGAACTGCCCAGGACATGAACTGAGCTGCTCTGCTGATACAAGCCCAGGGGTAAATAATCCCTGGTCTAAGTGTGGTTTAACTCGTTGCAGCTTTGCCTTTGAAAGGGGTGTGTTGCTAGCTAGGGTGCAGTCAGTTCTCATTCCTTGTACCGCAGGGTGTTTTGAGACCTGCTGTAGCAGCGCTGCTGCAGGCTCTGAATAACTGATCCCGTTCCATTCGTTGCACAGCCTTTTTGTTCTACTGTCACACAGCTCTTCCCTGGTGAACCCCTTCATCTACAAAGGAGGTTCATCTGACCTCACCTACATTAGAAAGGAATGCCAAACCAGTAAACTGGAAGTGGGGAACTGGACAGACTTGGGGTCCTCATTCAGCAATATGTTTTACTGTAGGATACAACCTGATGTTCCCTGGGCTATAAATGATCTTTGCTGATGAAAACCCAGGGCTGGTGCAACTTATTATAGTTATGGTGAAACATTTTCCTGCTTTTGCTCCTCAAATGGTCATGTAAGCTCCTACCCGGTGCTCACAATTTGCTGTGCCACACAGGAGGGCCAAGTACAGGAGCAAGCTGTGCATGCTGCCTAGTGGAGTAGATCTAATGCATAACAACAATTTCCTCCCCTGCTTGTGCACGTGTGTGTCAGGACAGGGAGGATGCTGCAGCATGCCTACAGCTCCAAGGTGATCAGTTCCTAACTGTAACATCTATTGCAGGGTTCCCTGAGGCCTACTGATGCACGCTTTTAGCTCTTAGGGTTACCTTTGTTCATCTGAACTACTAGCAGAACTGACCTCCACTTGATCAACGTGTGGAGGGACTGAGGAAGTCATAGGCAGGCTTTATTGAATGTTCCTCTTCAGAGCTCTTCAGTATCAAATAACCATTGAACCACCCGCTGGTACCCTGGTTAAGCTGGTCTTCAACACGTTGAGTGTGCTCTCATTACTTTCTCTCCTTACAGGTCTCATTAAAACACTTCTCTGAGTATGCACTACTGCATCAGTATCTCCCCAAAATGCTCCTGGCATCCAAGTACCAACCCTGTTTAAGGCCACTATGCCATTTCCCACAGAGCTTACTGTCAGACCGAGGCAGCAGCTTGCAGGGTGTGGGCTGGTGCTGTGTGTTGTTTTAAACCGTGCTTGGGGTGCTTGTTCCTATAGACAGAAGCGTGGTTGTGCACATGTCCTGAGCAGACTAATCTTGAAAAGCTTCTGAATAAGCTTGAAGCAGAAAGTGGTTATTACTGTCCTGCTGCAGCCTGACCTCTTCTTTCTGGGTAAAGACCCTCAGAACAAGCGTGTGCTAACATCCTGGTGCAGGATGCTGCTCTTGCTTCAACCGGTACAACTGAGAGGTGTCCCAGTTAAATGACTGATTGCTTTACGTTTTGCAGGTTCCCTTTTTGTCTCCTTTGGAAGGTCACATATATCTGAAGTTAAAATGCCAAGTGGACTCCTCCGTGGAAGAGAAAGGCTTCTTGGTAAGATGCTTGCTTCAAGTTGCTTCCATGGAAATTACAAGTCCTGTTAAATGTAGTTCCTTCTTGAAGTTCACACATGGATCTGTAGTGGTTGTAAAGCTTGAAACTAACTCATTTTTTCCCTGCTCCTCTCTGAACCAGACCCCAAACCTTTCCTACTTTATCTTTTAGACATGCCTGAATTAAAGCCCCATTTTCCTCATTCTTCTCAACACTGTTCATTCATTCATCTTCTCTGCTATAATCTGCGATGTGAGATGAGATCCTAACTTCTGTGCCAGCAGCAAAACCACATTCTCCCTAGAGAAATTACACACACAGAGACACACACACTGTGTGCACAGACTTTGGAAGCAACAGGATTTTGTGGGGGGGAAACCTCTTGAGCAGTTCTCTTTGTAGAACTGGAGTTGTGAAGCGCAGCTGATGCTTGGGCCTAATACACGGAGCTGTTGAGATGGTGCCCAGGAGATGGCAGTAAAGGTGCTGGGAAAACACAGCACCAAAACATTAACGCTCTTCTTTTGGTGGGTTTAGAATTTCATTACACTGTTTTCAAGCAGTTCTTTCTGTCTCCTTACTCTTAACTGAAGCTGAACAGACTTCATTAGATGAACACATTTCATGTGCTTGTGGTATTTGCTACCCCGTGGTTTTGTGTACTATTTAACAGAGGCCTGGTTGACGATGCAGCATGTAGAACCCGAAGGATGTTGTACATACACGTTCAGGTTTTTTCAGAGTAAGGCTTTGGAAAGTCCCTACACAGTAAAAATGAGGATCTGAATTGTGAAGAGCGAAAACCAGAACATATTGATCAGGGGGGTGTGGGGAATTCTCTATGCATTCAAGAGAGATCAGCAATAGAAGGAGCTTTCCATTTCAGTATTAGAGAAACATGGCTTGAAAGTGTCATGATCCTGCACCCAGTAAAATGATTACCAACACCAGCATTTAAAAAGCAATTTCTAATTCCTTTCAAACTGACTGGACTGCTGCTTGTCCTGTGGAACAGCTGAACATCCTGGAATCCTGAAGAGTACGTCAAAGGTGACTTGGGTATTGAAGTTCATCCTGTATCTGCTATAGGTAACCTTCCATTGTGTTAAAAGAACAGAAGGAACCACTGTCAACATGAAACTGTGGTGTTTTGAAAGGGCAGCAGTGGTTGCATCTTGAGCTAAAGCCTGCACACTTGAGAATGAGAGTGTCAGCTGCTTTTCTATGCTAGCTGGAAAATACCGATGCTGTACTAACTGATGTCTGTCCCAGTGAATTCCTGCACCTATGTTTCCTCCTGGGAAGGGTTGCACTTGCAGAACTGCCACTTGAGCACAGTCAAGGTATACTGATGCCTCCTTGGTTTTAATTGTGTTTTATTTCAGACCATGTTTGAAGATGTCAGTGGGTTTGGAGCGTGGCACAGGCGCTGGTGTGTGCTCTCTGGAAACTGTATCTCTTACTGGACGTACCCAGATGATGAAAAACGAAAGGTAATGCTGTCTTCTAAAGCTCAAGTCTCAGTTCTTCAGTACTCTACACAACTAGCTGCTCCTCTTTAATGGCAGTTCAGGCTTAAACCAAAGAAGTGCATTCAAAGCGTGAGATTCAAGGCATCCTTGGGGCATGGAGGCAGCTTCCTAAGCCTGACCTCAGTCAGGGCAAGCTTAGGAACGTACTGCTTTATCTAGTGACAAAGGGAAAAAGTGGAGGAAGATCCATATTTACTTTCCTCTTGAGTCTTAAGGCTTTCCCCTGTGCTTGTTAAATGAGTAATTGAGATTCATGAGACTTGTGCAGCTTCACAGGCAGCCTGCATCCAGCTGCCTTCAGTTTTAGACAAAGTAATGACTCTAACGCTTAATATGGTGAAGATGGAGAGTGGGCAATCCTCCTGTGCTGCAGGAGCAGAGCTCTCATTATGGACTGTCTTATTTGCAGTCTGTTTCTCGCACCTCCGCCTTATAGCTGAAACTGGTTCTTTTTAAATGGTTCTCATGGAAAGCCAAGTTATTGTCTGGCTAATGAGGCAGATGAGAGGCTCATCTGTCACGAGGTGAGCCTTGTCTCCTTAGCCTGTTGGTACTCTGTGTGCTGAGGTCCTTCCACAAACCCATTTCAAGAGGGCTCTTCTGACTCGCTCAAGTCATTTACCACTAAACACTTGCTTGTTTGGTGGCAGAGCCCTCTCCTTCCCAAACTCGGGTCCTTTTGGGTCCTCTATGCCAACCCAGATGCCTGAGTTTAGTTTCTTCCCCGCTAACAGAGGAAGACCATATGCTGACAGTTGACATGGCCAAATGTATCGGTGTGCTTGATTTTTGTGCCAGGAGAGAGGGGAAAAATCTTTGCCTACTGTAATAGAAGATAGGCAAAAAAAGGAGTTAAGCAAGAGAAAGGTTCCCATTCTACCACTGTCCGCTTGGGGTGGTTTGCCAGTGCTCTGGAACAATCTGGTAAACTTGTTTCACTATTACCTGAGAAAGGGTCAGCTGTGTTCTAGTGATACACTGTCATCCACAGCAATATTAAACTATCCTTATTGAATGCCTCCCTCACCCCTAGTTCTAGCATGCAGAGATAGATAGATGTACCTCAGCAATATCAGCTGTGTTCTAGCGATACACTATTATCCACAGCAATATTAAACTATCCTTATTAAATGCCTCCCTCACCCCTAGTCTATCTGCTCTAGCATGCAGAGATAGATAGATGTACCTCAGAAATAGCAGCTGTGGGCTATGATTGCTTTAAATTGTGAAATACTTCTGTTAATAAATTTCCCATTGCTGTATATGTGTGTAGATATATATAGAGATAGATAGATCTATATGTCACCAACCTGGTTTTTAATGCTCCTTGAAATGGAGCTCCCCTTTTTCCTGTAACTGGGGTATTCTACTTATCTATGGAATAATATTGGGAATATGCCCAGTAAATAGGAAGCTTTTCCCCAAGCCAAGAGCGGCTTCTGATGTTTCCCTGTACACCTGTATTCATTCTGTAGGTGTGAGGAATAGGAGCCGAGGACTGTAACTAACTTGAGGCATACAGCTGAGCCTCTGTCTATAGTCAGCAGGAAGAGAGAAAGGGCTTGGGACTGGACACCCTCTTTGGAGGGGTCTTGCTTTGATTACAGAGGGAACTAAACCAGCCAGACTTGGCACTTCAGGTGCTTTCATGGTTGAAGATGAATCTGTGTGCTTACAGGCTTTGACAAGCATGATGCAAGCATCCCTGAAGTGCTTGTTTTCTGTAGGCTGTGACAAGGTTGATCCTATCATTTTGGAGTTTGTTATGGAATTGTCTTGAATTGGAGAGTTAGAGCTTTTTAAAGGAAAAAAGAGCAGCTACATCTTTCTAGAGCCTGTGGTAAGGAATGGGTTTGTTAGCTGCATGCTGTGTGGCTGAGCGGGGAATGTTCCATTCTCAATTGTCTCGCTTCTGCTACGGCTCTTAAACACCAAAAGGGGAATCCCTCTTTTTGTATGGAGTCATTGATTTGGGGGGTGTCACTTAATACAGCAAAACCAGTTCAAAGCTTCCATTAGTCAGAATTGCTCCTGACTGCTGAACTTTACTTGCAGCATCCTTTGGGGCGGATCAACCTGGCGAACTGCACGAACCATCGGATTGAACCTGCCAACAGGGAGTTCTGTGCCCGCCCCAACACTTTTGAGCTGATAACGGTCCGGCCCCAGAGGGAAGACGACAGAGAGACTCTTGTCAGCCAGTGCAGGGACACCCTCTGTGTTACCAAGTGAGTAGATGGATTAAACGCTGGTTAGTGCTCTCTGGATCAGCACCTTGACGTTTATGGGAAGAGCTGAGCAGAGGCAGAGAAAGGCACAGCTAATCCTTTGGGTTCTTTGCCTTTTAGGAACTGGCTGTCTGCTGACACTAAAGAAGAGCGTAATATTTGGATGCAAAAGCTCAACCAAGTCCTTGTTGACCTTCGCATGTGGCAGCCTGATGCCTGCTATAAACCCATTGGAAAGCTTTAAACTCTGGAAGGGAAATGTAAAGGAAATATGTATACAAAACCTGCATGAACTATACACACAAAAAAAAGGAACTTCAATGGAAATGTGGGAAGTCTTCTGGGTCACTTATGCTTTAAATTTCAGAGTATTTAACATTATACAGGAGTATATTCTGCGGTATTTTTATTTCACTGTTAAGGATTTTAAGGCTCTTTTTCCTTCCCAGCTCTTGAGTGCGATGGAAGTAATCGGCTCTTTGCTAAATGTGCTGGATAACTCCTTCTTTTTGGAAGTCTTTTTTAGCCGAGTACGTTCTTTTCTTTAAACAACCATTGCAGGAAATCACACTCCAGGGGACAGGGTAGTGAGAAACCAAGCTCTCCTACATAACTGGGCTCCCTCAAAGAAACAAGAGCTCCGTTTCCTAGCAAGGGTGATGCTGAAGAGCATGTACTATTGGAGGGTTTCTCAGGTTGTTTTGGTAATGATCAGGCATAGAAGTTACATTCTACAGCATGCATTATAGGTGTTTCTTGCTTGCACAGTGTCCTTGCAGCCAGGACAGAACACATGCACAGTCTACTCCTACTTCTTTTGCCATTTCCCATACCAACTGGTATGGATAAGTGCATGGCATGTATACTGTGTGGTTTACAGGTGTGGAATTATGTATGCATTATATTGCACTTTGATGGAGATGAAAGGTCTTGATTATTTTTGTGAGGACTGCTATGTTAAAAAAAGAGAGAAAAATACTATTAGGGTTGTAGATGTCAGTATCTCCTGGGACTTGGGGTTTTTACAAGGTACAGTTCTCCATTTGAGAACCAGGAGCAGGTTGTAAAAGTGCTCTCTCTCAATATAAGACACTACAAGCTGCTCTGTACCAACTAATGCTCTGCTGGCTGGAAGGCTGGCTCTTCTCCCCCCTCATAGCCATGTCCCTAAATGCAGATAACAGCAGCGCTTCAGAGCCATCCATAAAATAACAAAACTTCTCAGTTCAAACTTAACAATTTTCACAGCTTTTCACTGGGCTTGGTGAAACACCAGCTCCTTAACTGCAAACGCAACAGTGGAATACTTGTACTTGCTATTGCTGTCATGTATTCACACTTGAAACACTAAGTTCTGTTCGCCTCTACTGTGTTCATCCTGTCACTGATGTCATTTCTTTCCCATCCAGTTTTCTTTTTCTGATGTCTTTACATCTTTCCAACCTATGTATTGAGGTTTGTTTTATTCATTTAAAATAAAGAAGACACTTTCTCCTTGCTTCATCGTGCCTTCTGTGCGTCGGAGATGCCGGTTTGTAGGCTGAAGAAGAGAAGCTGGGCTGCAAACAGTGTTGAAGGAAGGATTCTCCCATTCAGAATGTGAAAGTCAAACTACTACTTGACTGGGTAAGGAAATGGGATGCCTTGGGAGCAGGGATACAGCATGGACAGTGGACACAGGGCAGACTGTCCCCTTGCTCAAGCTTCCACGTGGAGGCTTCAAGAAGACCATTCTCCATGAATTCAGATAGCTTCAGCTGCCTATAGAGGCTCCAAAATGGTTCTTAGGGTGTGATTTCAAACCAAGCTTTCAGTCTGGGAAAAGAGTTTATGAGCAGCATGGCATAAACCAGCCCTCCAGTTTGCAGTGCATTGAAACCAGCCTCACCTATTCACCTGCTCACACTGCAAGGCCCTTGTATACCATTGCTTCTACAGATCTGTACTGCTCCAGTGTTTGAATTGCATGAAACCTTGTCCGACTTCAAGCAGTCTAAGCACCAGGAGCCGTCTAAATCTCATGGCACACACCAGGATTCATAGCTTGAAGCTGCTTTTGTAATAATCAGCTTTTTTGGGAGCATTTCCTTAAATACAGGACTTGTATTTTCAGAGGGGTACTGGGAGGCGACTGGTGGCTGTGGTGCAGAATCCAGCCGGGTTTTGCAGCTGAGTTCTGTTCTCTTTGAAATAGAATCCTAGAGTCCCAGCACACAGACGTTTACAAATCCATTTCTCATTTCTTTTCAACTGACGGGCCTCCTGACTGTCCTGGAGGACACCCGAAGGGTTTCCAACCCTGAATAGTAACTTAAAGGTGCTTGTAAAAGCTGATGCCTTCAGATGCCCCAAATTCATCTTTATGTGTGCATAGTTACTGCATTGGTAAACCCAGCTCCTGCAGAGCTTGCCTCCAAGGTGTGAGGACAATGCAGAGTTCTGTGTTCCTTTGGCCAGGGGCAGGCCTGTTGTTCCCTTATATCCCTGAGGCACCCTTTGCCAAGCACAGAGCAGTTACACTGGGCAGACCCTAGAGCTTTGTTTTGGGTTCCAGGTCAGCTTTGAGAAGATGCTGTTCTCATTTTACAAGAAAGCTTTTTTTTTCCCCATTGTTCACAAATGCAAGATGCTCACTCCTAAGTCTCTAAATGGAAAATGCTCTGCTCTGGGCAATGAAGCTTATTTTGGCTAAGGAGATTTCAGTCTTACTGGCTTGTAAAGCTCCTAATTGGTGTTATTAAATCCCAACCTCAACTGAAACACAATAATTTGCAATGAGATTGCTTGAAAATTGGGCTTCTAAACACATGCTGTTCCCTTCCCCCTTTTCATTGCTGTATTTTGGTGTCGAGGCAATCATCTGATAGTCTCTCATTGTTGTCTGTGCTGTACTTGGTCTGTAGTAAAACCACGTGGATGCACTTGTTCCTTCTACCCACTTGTTTTTAATGGGAGCCAGGAAGCCTGAGCAGGTAATAAAGGGTGCTTCGAGGCATTGTACCTGGCCAGTGTGCGGCAGATGGTGGAGAGGCTTGGCATGGGCAGCAGGTAGGTTTCCTTTCCCTTCTGATGCTCACTGCCCTTCCTCAGGCCTGCCCCCGTGGAGCTGGAACAGTGCCTTGGGAGAGCGGGTGTTCTGCTGACATTTCAACGCCTTCAGGGAGTTTTGGGCCTCATTAGGAAGCCTCCTTCAGGTAAGGAATATAACCCCTGTTGGGTTCCTGAAGCAGGTCAGGGCAAGATCTACTTGTCCCCAAGGAGCTCCTGCCCGCACAGCTGCGGTGATGCCGGTGCTGCTGCTCTGCGTTGTCTGACCCCTGCAGCACCACTGAGGCTGTGAGCAGGGCACAGCTGCCTCCAGTTCCCTTGGGTTTGCTGGTTTGGCTCTGAAGAGCCTGCAGCGGCTCCCAGCCTCCCAGTGTGCAGGGAGCCCAGCAGGTGAGGGCTTCCCGGTGTGCTCAGTGAGTGCCTGGGTCCCACCTGCAGGGAGCTACAGGACTGGGTGCATCGGGCTTGGTAGGAGGGGAAAGAGCAAAGGGTTATGAAGGGTTGCAAAGAGCCTGTTCTAAAGACACAAGGGGTTGTGAAGCTGCTCTCCTTTTAATGCTGGGGCGGGGGGAAGAGAGCCTGTGCTCAGCTGGTGCTGATGCTGCCCGGCAAACCCAAACCCCAGCTCCTTGCTGTTCCTGGCACGTTTAATAAGCAAATAGCAGCTAAATAATGTAGTGGCCCTCGGGGCAATCCCGGGCCATTTAGAGCAGTAGAAGGAGTTTGGGGTTTTCCTCCCCACCGCTCCCTTTTGGGGTCAGATTAACTGTTGAGCAGCACCAATGGGAAGCCCAGGAGTTGTGCGGGGGGGGGGGAAGGAGGCAGGGTTAGAAGTTTGCTCTGTATGGGATTAAAACCCGGTGTGGGTTCGCAAACCAGTGCAAGGGGTGGCGCAGGCAGGCGGGTATCCTTTATTGCATAGCATGGCCTGCTCGTGCAGGTGAGGTCCAGGCTGCAGGGAGCGCTGCTGTGTGATGGCCACTGCTCCTGCTCGGCCAGCTTGCCCTCTCCCTCTGTGTGTGTGTGTCTGCAGGCAGCCCGTTCCGTGGCTGCCCCGGGAGCATCACCAGGAGCCCCGGCCGAGCCCCGGCCCTCGGCAGTCAGTGTCCACCTTGGTCCTGGAAGAGAGCTTCTATCTGCTCGTTGAAGGGATTCTCCTTCCCCAGCACCCGGGGCCACTCCTGCAGGGCCTTCTGCCAGGTGATGCTGGTGCCCAGGGCTGCAGCGGCCTGCGAACAGCACACACACTGTCAGCCTCTCCTGCCTCTACCCTGCAGCTCCCTCCTGGCAGCACTGGGAGCCCCCCCGGGAACACGGCTCCCATGTCCCGCAATGGCATGGACCAGAGCCTCTCATCGGAGACGCCCCCTTCCAGCCGCTTGACCAGGAAACCCTTCTGAGCACTGGAAACAAGGTGAGGACCCGGTACTGCTCCAGCCCAGCAGCACGGCTCTGAAGGAGCAGCTGAAGCCCTCTTGTGCCTTGGAGCTCCCCTGCAGGCCTGCCCTGGGGAACCGAGCAGAGCCCAAGGGGGAGCTGCGGGGATGCTGCAGCCCCTCAGTGTTTGCTGTGCGCGCCCATTGAAGTGCTCCTCCAGGGACCGCTCCTTCCAGCGGGCAGGACCGCATCCCAGCAGGTGACCTGGTGATGGGGCTGGGGGTCACCAGGAACAGGGGCTGGCTCACACTGTAACACCAGGCCAGGAACGCACCCTGGGCAGGGTGCTGGGGTGCACTTGCATGGATTCACCCTGGGCCTTTGGGCAGCGGGGCTCAAGGCAAGCAGCAGGGCCAGGGGCTGGGCAGGGTGCTGGGGTGCACTTGCATGGCTTGGCTGTAATGGGGTGGGAGCTTTCTCCAACCTCCCCTTTGCCATGGTTGTGTTCAGAGTGGGATGGGGAAGGCGGCTGCTGCTTTGCTCTGTGTAAGTGTTCCCTATCTGGAGCTGGTGTATGGGAAACTGAATGGGTTTGTTTGTAGCTGAGGGCAGAGCATCCTCTCTGTGTGCCTCGTACAGGGCTCAGACAGCAATAGCTTGAGGTTGAATGTTGTAGAACCCCAGCCTGGTTTGGGTTGAAGGGACCTCAAAGCTCCTCCAACTCCAACCCCTGCCATGGGCAGGGACCCCTTCCACTGGAGCAGCTTGCTCCAAGCCCCTGTGTCCAACCTGGCCTTGAGCACTGCCAGGGATGGGGCAGCCACAGCTTCTCTGGGCACCCTGTGCCAGCGCCTCAGCACCCTCACAGGGAAGAGCTTCTGCCTAAGAGCTCAGCTCAGTCTCCCCTCGGGCAGGTTCAAGCCATTCCCCTTGGCCTGTCCCTACAGGCCCTTGTCCCAAGCCCCTCTCCAGGTTCCCTGCAGCCCCTTTAGGCACTGGAGCTGCTCTA